CCCCCACACCCCCCCACCTCCCCCCACACACACACTTTCTGCCTGCTTTGTCAGCACCATTTTTGCCAAAAGTATGGAGGAAGTTGATATTTACAGTTAGTTCTCATCAATATTATGATCCAATAGAAAAATGCATGTACCCAGCTCTCCACAGCAAGGTGTGCATCAGTGAAGCAGTGCTAATGCCTCATCATTAGTTATACACCATACAGACTTTTCACAATCCTCCTTGGTTCATGGGAGATGAAGTGTAAATTTTTAAGCTTCTAACAGCAGAGTGCAGTGTGTTACAAGGAGAAACATACTATAGTCAGATTTTAAATGTATAAGAATCTTTTCTGCATTATTTTCCTAACCAGTATGGGGCTGATTAAATTTTTCTACAAGCAGTTGAGAAGTATGATAGAATTAAACTGCTGTTGAAAAGTTACTTGAATGACTAAATAACTGTTATACCTTTTATATGGTTCTCTTACTGCAGAGTAATGAAGCACATTGTTACAGAGCAAGAATAATGCAGCTGTACAGCTCTCCACTGAGCTATGAAGCAAAGCCACATTCATGACAAAGAACATCATCCTGCCGAGTGAGGAATCCCTGGCCCACCAGCGAGACAGAGCATTTCACACAGTTAAAGCATTCCCCATGCCACTGGCGCTCTTCAAATGAGATAAATTTGGCACCTCCGAGAGCTGAAAGAGATTATGAGAAAGAATGTGAATCCATTTTTTCTCTGGACATCGTCCAGAAACGCAACAGATTGTTTTCTGACGTGTGATCCGGTTGTCATTCACATAGAAAACAAACAAATGAACAAAAATCCATAGTCTGAAGTATCCTGAGGTAAAAAAAAACCTTAAAAGTTAAATACAGTGAAAAATATTTTAAGCAAAGCCACAAGTTGCTTGTTTTCATATCCTATTATGAACAGAATGAGTTTATCAGAATGCCCATTCAGGTTTGCTGATCTTCCCAACAAACTCTCATGAAAATTATTTTCAGTGTGTTGATATGTATAGTTTCTTATAACACTGAGTGAAATTTAGTTATTTCCACCTATGTTTCTTCAAGATGCAGTCTTTTGGAAATTACCAGATTACGATGTTCTTAGTGTGAGTATCTGAAATAAAATATTGGAGGGCTTTGACGTTTGGAGGTTGGTTTGGATTTTTTTTTTTGTTTGTTTTGTTTGTTTTTTTTTGTAAAATCATGCTCTTTTGGGTATTCATCATTTTCTTTGCCCACTTACATATGCTGCATGCACCTGCAGCAAGCGGCCAGTACTTTGCAAGACTTGAGTCCACACATAGAAGTAGAGTGCAGAACACAAGAAAATGCTCTCAGAAAACTTCAGCTACCATAGACTAGTGACATATATGTCTAATTATAAATCATCTAAGCATACAAGGATGGATGCGATAGAGTTTTGCTGCATTTGGCAAGCTTTCTAATTTGACAGCTGTGCCTTACCAGCAGGCAGTTAATTCATGTCCAGTTTGATTACATTTGCATTTAAAAACAAAGCTGAAGACATTACAGACACAAGGGACTTGTGTGTAATGTTCTGGGAAGAGCCAGAAAGTGCCTTTCCTTATATTCTTAAGGATTAATTTTAGTGCAGAAAACACTAAATCAAACAACGGAGGAACTCCTTTCGTCACATAAAACAACTCCTCAGTAGTTAGGGAACATATGTCCTAGCAAGATACGTTACATGTGATGGAGAGAATGTCTCTCTAGGAGTTAACTCCTTCAGTCTTTCATTATGATGGGACTACTTTTAATAATGTTTTTCTAAAGGTTTCTTTTGAGAGGAGACTGATGATTCATCGGTGTCTAGTCCCATCTAGAATATGAGACTCACCTGTAATAGGTTTCTTGCAAGCAGCACACTTCTTAGCATACAATTTGCTGAAACAGTCTACACAGTATGGATCCTCATCTTTGGAAATAAATCTTTGTCCAGACAGTTGGGTTTTACACCCAGCACACACAAAGCATTCTTTATGCCAAGGCTGGTCATGGTAGGTCACTCCCCCAGAAGTTATTACCTAATGTATTGACAAAAAATGAAACAGAGCAATGAAACTTCCTTCAGAAGTCCTTCTAATTGTTTTCTCTCTTCCTCTATGCACAACAGAACAGAGTGTGGTGTCATCAACTCTTTTTCATGTGGAATATCAATTTGACTAACTCTAGTTGAGCTGAACATGCCACTGGTTTGTTATTCTCAATTGTCTATCATATGATAATCTCATGGTTTGTAAAAAACAGGTTATTTTAGGAAATTTTTCTATTATGCATGAGGATAAAGGCTGAGACCATCAGGCATGGTCTCAGAAGAGCAATTCTCAGTGATTGACAGTGGATGAGAGAACTCATGCTGAGATTATGGCTAATCTCCAACTGGAAATTGCATTTTTCTCTCACAACTGAAATAATATTTTAAGTAGGAAGAAAATAAAGAAACAGAAGTGAGACAGAAATGAGATCTAGACTGTCAGAGAATTAAAAATGGTGTTTATCAGTGTCGTCAAACTTCTCATTCCCTGCAACTCTCACAGCCCTCCATTGCTTATTTCTGATTAGGGAAATTTCTAGTTGCTCTAGGGCTTTGGTAAAGAGCTGGTTTCACAGAAGTTGTGAAAGACTGTACAAAGAAATTTCTGTAGAGATACAGATGAGCTGTAAGATAGTATTTCTACTGTCAAGTCACATGCATGCCAGTGAATGAATGAATGAATGAATGCATGCAGTTAGAACAGGAGCATAAAAAGTTGGAGACACTTAAGTAAAATTAGTGGCATCATCAAATTTCCCTGGTGAATACAGTTTCAGGGAAATAAAGAAATATACTGAGTGATGTCAGGCAATAAAAAAATTTAAATAGTTCCCAATCCCCTTAGCATTCCAGTATTGGGCTACTTCTAACTCTCATTTGCTTATTCAGGACTCCAGTTTGGCAATTTAATCTCTTTGGGCTTAGTTCTTATTTATGGGAACTCACGCAAGTTTAAGTAGTAAAATTGGTTTAGCTATTACGTAGTGGAAACATTTTGCATTTCTAGAATTTTTAAGAAGCAAATCCTGATTTCACATAAGTGCTGCTAAGTGCAATGCCTCTACTAGAGAACTTTCTAAAGTTTAACTACTGAAGAAAAAAACAGGCAGCAGATTTTTCTTAAAATAAAAGCTTTTGTTAAAAGTAGAGGTTTACAGATAAACATTAAATAACCACAGAAATTATAAATTATTTGATGAAGTGAAAAAAACCCAACAACTTCCAGAATGGTACAGGTAGGAAAGAATAAGTTAAATCCTGCCATAAAAAAGCAACTTAAAACATTTCCCTAGAGAACAGTATCACATTAGAGTAGTGAAATACTTTGTGTGTTTTGTCAACCAGAGACAATTTTAAAACATGAGAAACTGAGGAGGGATGAATTAATTTATTTGTATTTGGAGGAAGAAGGAAAAATTAATTTGAAATTAAGCTTTCTGGCACTGACAGGTTAAGTGTCATCTATTGAAACACTGGGACTCTTAACTAGTATTATCATAACTGAATATTACTTAATCTGCTTGTTGCCTGATAGATTTCAAGAAAAAAAAACAGGCAGGACTGTGAATGCTTTGTCTGAAGCTTAGGTGGCTTATTATGCATGTGAATATATCTGGAAAATGTTGGAAAGGGAGGCATGTTTATCAAGGCAAAACAAGAGATTGTCAGGAAAGAAGGGTTTTAAGTAACTTCCAGTGAAAAATTCAACCTTTGTCACAAATCATAATAACAAAAGAAACCCAAAGTACTTGTTTTGGTCAATAAGTTTATTTAAAATATAGCCGGGCTTAGATTCATATTAACTAGAGGTGAGAGCAGACACTGTCATAGCTGTCTTTCCAGTGACTGATGCCAAAAGGAAGACCCTGTTCTTACTCTTAGTTCACCAGACATTTTACATGATCCAGCCCCTTCCCATGAGCAATACTGCCTCATTAGAACAATTTTTTCATTGTGTGTTCCATTACCTTTTTGCAAGAGTAGCAATGGTGAGCAAATTGCTTCTCAAAACAGGGCACACAGTAATTCTCGTTGTCTTTGGTGATCAGTGGTTTAGTTCCCAATGGCTGCCGGCAATACTGGCAAACAAAACAGGATTCATGCCAGGAACTTCCCTTGAATTCCATTTTACGGGAACCTGCAAAAACCCAGAGTGAACAATCCCCCCAGATACAGCCTTCTAACATCAATTTTTAAACCTCGGGAATACTCTTGTTTTTAATCTTCTATCTCAGTATTGGATTACCCAAGAAAGCAATTATCCTCAATTTAACAGTTTCTAAGTATCTACTTGAAAATTTCAAGAACACATTCAGCACCATTTGATCGCTTGGCAAAAGATGTTCTAAATTGACTAAACTGTGATTTTTAGAGTCCGTCCTTATATGAATCTTTTAAGGTTACTTCTCTGTGATAGGCTTCAGTTGCTCAGATTTTCTCTCAGACCAGCCAACTCAGTGATGATGTTCAGGTACACAGCACTTTTATAAATTAAAGATTGATTTGATGTTTAATACATTTATTAATGTCTTGCTTTTGTCTTTCTTAAATTAAGGCTTCTTCACTTATAAATGAATTAATTATCTTATTCAGATTAAGCTGTCAAGTTTTTAAAAGTAAATATCTTTTCTGTGATAAAGCGCACTACACTGCTCATAATTTCTGACCTAGATCAATGGTTCTTTTCATCATGCTTACTAGATGCTTTTGATACAGCATAAAGACAGAAAGACACTCAGTTAAATGTCTGCCAGAGGAGTTTTGGATTAGCTCTGTGTACAGGTGCCCTGTACACCTTAATGTAGATGTATAAGTCTAAGGTGTGCATGTATATCTGAGAATGATTTTTGCAGTGACTCTCCACCATCCTCCCCTGCTGGTAGCATCAGACTGCAAAAAGAGGTGCCAGGTGCATTACCATCCGTTCCACATGAAGAAGAGGATCGCTGATATAACTGATTAATCCTGCAATACCTGTTTCCTGGAGTGTGAGGTTAGTGGAGAGAAACTACTGGTTGTATTTAAATATAAAAGCTTTGCAGCTTCCTCCTAGTGATCAGAAGGCTGACTTCATTGTCTTTGCTTACTGGGTCTTCTCAACTCAGAGGTAGCAAGCTGATAACTAAGAAGTCAGTGATTTAGAAACTGGTTGGAATTCCCATGCCACTGCAGTTTTCTATTTGCAGTGTTACTCTTACCCTCAGCACTTGCTGCAAGGATTTAGTCTGCTAGACTCTGAGACAAAATCTGCACGGTGGATATCCAGAGGATAATAATGCAATCCTGAGTCTATTTCAGTACTATTCTCATCACGTTTAGTAAGGCATGCCTATTAGACAACATATTTTTAAACTATATAAAAGTTAAGCAAGATACCATCCTTAAACTGAACACAACTATATTGCCACAGCATTTATTTCTACAGCTTTTACCTGTAATAAGAAGAAAATAAACTCTAAAAATACAAAGCAGTGTTGCAGGTTGAACCACAACATCAGTAACCTAGCATTTATACTAAGACAATAATTCTGCACAGCCCAGACATTATTGTTTGGTGTTAAGATCTACTGAAAAATAAAATTCCTATGTCACTGCAAAATTTCCTGATACCCTTGGCCGAAGATTCCCAAACTAGTAGTCATGAGGCCATGGCAGATAGTTTGCAGCTGTTATTTTGAGTTATACATGTAATCTGTAAAAACATTCAAACATTGAGAGTAGTTCACTCTTCCAGAAGTTCGGGACCCATTTTCCTAAGAAGCTGCTTCATTTTGCCACATACTGTGGCTTCTCTTAGATGCCTCTGCAGAGTCAGTTTTTGGGCAATTTCTCTGTTGTATGAGCCTTACCGGTGTCAATGAAAGGCCTAGATGATGTCCTTCTCATTCGCAAAAGCTGAGAAGCTGTTTAGTGGAAAGTGCAGAATTTTTAAGGTTGCTAATAGCAGGAAGTAAACCTATTGTAAACACCAATGTACTTGTATTCTTTTTAGCAAAAGTGTTGATAATGATTTGAACACAGAAAACAGAAAATATTTCTGACTGAAAGAAATGATATCAAGAACATGACCTCAAGTTCTGGTCAATGTGACAGACAAAAATACAGATGTCTTGTCTAATCTGGAAGTCCTGCTAACGATATAGCCCTGTTTGTCTACCTACACCCACAGTGGGTCATGCTTCCTAAGAATGCAACAGAATCAGGGACTCAACAAGAACACATTTAACAACACATTTAACCCTATTTTGAACTCTAATATTCTTTATAAGGATTCATAAGCCCTGTTGGTGCTAGACCAGAGGGATCTGCCTGCCTTCTCTTCACTGCTGGGAGGGTTCTACACACGAAGGAGAAGTAGTCATCTGAAAGTTGTCCTGAAAGTCAAGGACCTTGTAGCTTGGCTATTCAAGGCTGTGGTTATAATTAAAAATATAGTTCAATTTTTCACTGAAGTCTTACCAGGCATAATGGTCTTCTGACAGTGGAAACACTTAGATGAATATTCATCGGAGTAGCATTCAGTACACAGCAAGACCTCGTCCTTGGCAGCAAATGGTTTCTCCACCAGTGAGCGACTGCATTTGGCACACTTGAAGCACCCCTCATGCCAGTGGCGGCCTTTGTAGGCCAGATCCTTGGAGAAAGTAAGTCCATGTTATTGGAGAAATCTCTTTATAGTGCTTTTATCCCTCAGCTCCTCCCAGAAATAAAGTGAAAAATGGAGAGCATTGGAACGGTGACTTGAAGTGATGACATGTGCATCTAGCGGGAGGTGTGCTCGGAGGTGATATACGTCACTGTACTGGTATATTTTGTAGATCTCTTGCAGAGGCCATTTGGAGCTGCTTTGGCACAGGCAATCATCTTTATGTAACGTGAGAGATATGTTTTTATTAGAAGAATAATTTTATATATTATAGTTGGCCTTCAAGGGGATACAATGATCAACATTTTTAATGTGTGCAGGCCACCTGAGAAGAAGTGCATTCTCTGTGGACGCTGAAATGAATCTCATGTATTTTTTAATGTAACTACTTTTTATTCCAGCTGACACTACATAACGCTAAAGAAAGATCACATTATTGCAGAAAACAAACAATTAAAATCTCATTGAGAGCAAAATGATTCTTAGGAAGATTATTAAAATAAACATTGTTTATGTTTACACCTAATATAACTCCTCCTAAAAACTTGGGAGAAAAATGTTTGTTTAAGACTTGGCAGGCTTAGGGGATGAAACAGCTAACAGTATATGCATGAGACCTCACCTAAAAATTCAGTAAAGAGAGTGAACAGCACATTTTATTTTTCCAAGGTTAAAAAAACAAGGGAAAAATGCACTTCCAGAAAAGGTCTCCACCTTAAATAATAAACCAGACCCTTCCAGGTCTTCTTTATAAGTAAGAAGCACAAAATGGCACAAATCCAATCTCATTTTTCTTCTTTGTCAGATCCCCACCCTTTTAAGGGCTAAAAATGAAATAAATACCATGCTTCATTTCAGGAGGTGCTGAGCACCTACCACTTTAATTTGCTTTAGTTACCACTGTGGACCCTCTAGAAAGTAGGCTATCACCCCAGAGCAGCCCGAGGCAAAGACTGGGTAAGAAGCAGAGGAAAGAGCCAACCTGTAGCACCATGGCAGAGGTGGGACAACCAGCTGTTGATCTCTGTGGGTCACTTTTCTAACTGACACTGGCTTGTTGCACTCCTTTCTTGTTACTATTGCTTCTTTCTCTATTTTTCCTTTCATTCGGTCCAAAGACATGACTTTTTCTTAATGATCTTTGACATAGGTAGTCCTGCCACTTAGTTAATTTTCAATTTTAAAAGTGAAATTCGTGAGCTCAGAGAACATGTTCCCCAGGTCACCCTGACTGGTGCTACGTGTACAAGTTTGCTGTTGAAAAGTGCTGATGAGAGTTTGAGAGGTGCCTTCATCCACATCAGCATTTTCCTTGGATGATTCCTCTACAGTACTGAGCTGTACTCAGACAATGTGCTTTGAAAACCATTAAGTGCTTTGGCCAGGGATGCCTCTCTAGAGGCTTATTTTAATAACTTGCTGACCTTTTATTTCAAAAGAACGTAGGCAAAGCAAGCATGGGGAAAGGTGAAAACTACGAACTGAACTTGGCAAAACAAAGGCATTTTGATAGGTTTCATCTGAACTTAAAATTCAAAGTCAAGTGTACAGACTTTAAATTGAAGTATGGAGTACTGGAAACCCTGTCAAAGACCATAGAGGGACTCATATTACTAATTAACATTCTGAAAAATTGGAGAGGTGAAAGGGAAGCCAAGTTCAGAAACACTGCCACTAACATGCCATCTCTGAGATGAACAAGGTAAGCATGGAATTAAGTTAAAATTAAAATATACATAATTTCAAAATTAATATATACGTAATTTTCAAAAGACAGAGGGAATAACATAAAAATTATAAACATGGTTACTTTTCAGGTTAGCATCTGCATGTTGACACCTATAGTAAAAGTAATTTATGCAATACTCAAAATATATTTTTCAATAGACACCTCTCAGAAATTCCAAAGTGTAATTCAACCTGATCCACTGAATTACACCAGCACCCTACCATCCCTCAAGCACTGTGCACTCTGCAGCCAGTGAACAACTAGAAGTGAAGGATGGAGTCTCGTTGTCATCCACACAGACGATACAGCATCAATGCATGTTTGAGGTAAATGTATGTGCAAATTTCCTAATCTTTGGCACCAGAACTTTCCTATTCTGGGAAAATAGCACTGTTTGTCTCTGTTGCGTGTGGATTTACATGGCTATGCTTAAGTCTCTTCACCAGTACAAGGATATGCAGAGGGTTGGATATAGAATCTGCCATAAAAGAAATAGGATTTGTGTATAATTTAGCAAAGAACAAGAAGTGAAAGAGAAATCTTTACCTTGGAATCACACTCAATAGGTTTCTTGCACTCTTCACAGGGGTTGGCAAATAGGCTCTCATAACATGTAACACAATAAGCGTTTTCTTCTCTTAATGCATATTTCCTTCCACGAAGAGACTGCAGGCAGTAATGACAGTCTGTGTGGTTGCTGGTCATTCTGGTGGGGTTCTCCATGTGATCTGGAAAGATGGAAAATTCATGCAATTCATGGATGACTGTTTGCCTGCTCAGATAAGAAGTAATGCTGCTTTACCTGTGAAAGTTAAGACAGAAGTTTTGTGGTCATTTGCAGTGCTCTAGACTTCTAATGCTGAGCTGTTCCATAATAAAATAGAAGTCTTTAACAATGAATACTGTGTATTGTGTTACTTACATAGTGGGGAGCAAGAAGGTTGCTTCAGCTTAATCTGATGGTATTTACACTGATAGGTCAGATACCTGAAAATGAAGCCATCTTCACATTCTCTACGTTCAACTACTGGAATTATGAGCATTATGTACTGGATTATGAGGCATGGTTTATTCAGAAATCAGGAAATGGAGATAGAAGCAATAGTTCAAAAATTAAACCAGCTGTGGAGTCAAAAGGCCAAAAAGAAGTGGCAAGCACTTTACAGTGTGTTCTTGGCTTTCTCTTGCCATTCTTGCCTTTCTGCTCTTTCCTTCCTTTTCAAAATACCCCCACCTCTACCTGACCCAACAGAAGGAAGAACAGGGATTCCAAACTCTATGGCTGTTATTTGCATAATCCCAGGTGTGCTGCTAACATTTGGTGGCAATGTAGGTGACATAAATGCCCTTGGATAGAAAAAGAGCAAAATATAAACATAAATAAGATAAATCATAACTCAAAATTATAGCTCAAAGAAAGTTTCTCTTGCTGTTATTGGAAATAATTTTCTTTGCTTAAATATGTCTTTACTGCCAGGTTCCATGCTGGCAGTGCCAAAATACTGTAAAACAGATTATATTTCTGTGCCAGACAAGTGCAGGAAATACCACAAATCTATTGAGAGCCAATTGTATGAGTTTCCCATCCTTCAGTTTTCCAGGCTAAAGAGGCTTGGATAAGCATCCAAACCTCAGCTGCTTATAGATCTGCAATACCGAACATTTTAAGGATTGTGGAGATCAAGACTTATTTCAGTCTTCTTGTTGCTGATTGGATCATCAGTGCTTTGCTAAAATTGGGTCTTCATTTCTGGGAATGAAGGAAGAAGAATCCAGAAAGTTCCCAGTGAAATAAATCCAGAAACATCTGCTGGACTCATTGGATTGCACTCTTCATTAAACTCGTCGAGTGTAGCTGCAGCCAGCACCAGCAATCATAAATTACAGAGGATTTGAGAACGACTGGAGAAGGTCTACTAAAATATTTACATATCAGTGACTTTGGGAAGCTGAAATCTTTGCACTTTGAATAACAGTGCAAATTAGTTTCCAGATGCAAAGCCTGAGAGTAGGGAAGAAAGCATATGAAGAACAAGGTTCGAGGGAGTGCTTAACCATCACAAATGGACTAGTTTACATTTAGTCCATTTAGAGTTACTCCCTCATACTTGCTTTTATACAGTCACTGCCTGTCTTAAACCAATGGTTTTAAAAAGGCATTTAATCTTTTTCTGTGTTTCTGCTTTGTGAGACGTAATCAAAAATGATTGTTTGAACTATGAGAAGGAACAATTACTGCAGGTTTCTACTGGCACCAGTGCATAAGGTCAAGCATTTGTTGATCTATTCTTGGAGGGATAGTAGTAAGACAGTGGAAAGGGGGCAGGGAGAGAGGCTATAATGCTAATTTCAGACAGAAGGTAATGACTTGATCATTTGGCACAAGCTATGGAAAACTTGTTGTTCCTGTAAATTGAAAATCTTTTGAGTTGAGTTGATTTACTGTATTTCTGACTGCCCTAAATCTTTGTGCTAGCCAAGACAGGGCGTAGTAAGGAAATCAAATAATCTGTAACTCAGATCACTGGGAAACATGCTTGCTTAAAAATATGTGATGTATTTTATGTGGAATAATACCATAACAGGGCTTGAATCTGGGTTTCCATTTCCTTAAGATCAAATAGAGATCTGTATGTGAAACAAATGGACCCATGTATATGAGAAAATAACATACAACAGCTTGTATGTTTACACAACATGACATAAAATCCAGTGACAACACAGTGCATTTAGTGAACAATCACTACATAGCCATCAGCAAAATCAAAGTTAAGTTTTGCTCATTTTCTTCAGTATTGAAGAAGCAGTATGAACTGGTGGCTAGGGAAACAATCAAGGAATGTTTGTGGTTAACTGGGCTCTGCATTCAAGGTCATATGACAGGCTTGCAATTGGATTTCAGAGGAATTTTCATTCCTTTTTTTTTGTGGGAATTAGAGTTATGAATTGCCTCTGAGGATGACCCTGAGTGAACCACCTTTCTGATCTCCTCCCTGCTGAATCAGTACCTCAGCTTCCCAACACAGTTCGATCTCAGCCTAAAAGAGGAAATAGCAAAATTCTAACAGGTCATGAATGAAGAACTTATGGGGTTTTTTTGTTGCATAAAGATCACCAACAAATAGCTTCAGATATCTGCAGATACATCTCTGTTTTTACATTCTAATGAATGGCAATAGGCTTCTAAGTCATCAAAATCTCTGCATACCCCTCAATTTTCTTTAAAAAGTTATTCTCTTGATTATTATTTTTGTTTTTCCCTAGGAAGCCAGTCAGTTCCAGGAAGCCCAGGTTATGTGCACAAACAAGATCTGCTGTTGTAATGCCTCAGAGCTTCTGAATTTGTAGTGTAATTCTTCTAAAAACCTATATGGATATGGGAGCAAAGTGCCATTACTCTTGTTTTACAGATGCCAGTGGTTTCTTGAGAACATTAAAAGACTACCCCCAAGACCAGAGTCAAAGCCTGGGGGTGTCCTTGAGTTGCTCCTCTAGTAAAATTCTCAAGTTGCCCGAGAAAGTCTTCAGAGTTTGACCACGATGATATAACACCATATTTGGGAATGAAGCAGCCGTGGTATGAAAAAGAATGATGATTTTTGAAAATCTCTTGGCAAAGGTCTGGATAACCTTTGTGAACTACTTTTACCATTAGACAATGAAACAAAATAAGTGAATCTCGTCTCCTCCAGAACCACTTACCCTTGCTCCAATAAATAAGTAATGGTAGGAGCACCACATAGTTAAGTAGAATGTTTTTCTTGTGCTTTGATCCTAATCTCTAGAGAAATATGTTTACTTTAAGTTTGCTGGAAGCTAGACTTTGTGTTTTGAAGGTCAGTTAAGAAATCTCTGGAGGTCTGATGCTATTCACTCACATGGAATGAAACGCTGACTCTAGCATTCCAGCTGCTAACTCGTGTCCTAGGCACAGGGAAAGACTGCAATGTCTTAATTCCTTGGGAAAAGAGGGTTTTGTTATTTAAACTGGAGCAAAGCTAAATACTGTTGGTTTTTATGTATCTAGTAGGCACGGATACATGATATCATCTGTAGTGTTAGCATAGTCCAAGGGGGTGCAGAGAGATGTTGCCAAGGATGTGAGGATATTGCAATTGGAGTCCCTGGGGTCAGATTCAAGAATACAGCAGTGTCATGGTATGAATTATGAAGCAGATGAATATAAAACAACAGAGTTGGCTAGTCTGCCTGCTGTTCCAGCAGATTAAGATAGAATTTAACCTCAACAAATTAGGAGAGGGACTTTCTGTAGAGTCAAATGGTTTCCTACAAATTGCAGAGCACTAGAAGACTTCCAGTAAAGAAAGCTCTAAGAAAATGGTTGTGAAGCTGTGAAACCTGATAAATGTGGAACCATCAGGAAAGGAATATTTGTTTTTTCACTTGAGCTAAAAAGCACAATCACAATGTTAATATATCTCTTAATAATTTATCTTGACAATTTCTATAAATGTATGGTAATCTCCCTTATGTTGTATAAAAAGCTCAGAAACATTAATACGACTTAGATGGGAATATATATATATATGCATGCAGATCTAAACATGCATGTAAAAATGATTTATCTTTTTCTTCATGGTAATTCTAATGGACTGTTTTCCAAGTGGAATAAGACTGCCACTGAAATGAATCTTTGTTTTGTTTAAGAACATATAATGATTGGAATAAGGTTTTGTTAGAGGCACAAGGAAAGAAAAATGATGGCAAAATAAATCATTGCAACAACACTGAAGGATAAGAAAAACAAATTGATCTATTATGAGAGGGACACTCCTGTAAGCCACCCCAGACACTAGATTATTTTCAGTCAAGTACATGCTTTTATCTTGGAATATGGTTTTGCTTATTTGCATGAATTTGCTGACTTCATTTTTTTTTTTTTTTTTTTTTTTTTTTTTTTTTTTTTTTTTTTTGTGTGAGAGCTGCTGAACAATTCATCACATACATTTGCAAAATACATTAGTGACTCAAGGTTATAACTGCATTATAAATCTAATTATAAGCCATTATAAGGAAAAGTTTCTAACAATATCATTTTTTTATAAACAAGTTTCTAACAATGTTTCTTGATTTTTCTGGATGCCTGCTACCTCCCAGAGGTTTTAATCTGTTATTAAAAGTCCTGACACCTCAAAAAAACCCAAACCATAAGATAAATGTATGATATATTTTCAAAACACTAGCAATACTCTTGCTGTCTCTTCCCTCCCTTAGAGTAACTGCAAGTTTCCCAGTGATAACTTTAAGTTATACTTGAGTGCTTAAGGGTACTAGAATTTTTACTCTTCTAAAAATGGGTCAAGAAGCAATAGGAACCAGGACACATATTACAGATCAAGTCAAATCAAGTGTCTGTAGGAAATCAGAGACACAGCCATTAACTTTGAACAAGTTGTTTTATCTCTGTGGTGCAGCACAGTAATACTCAGGTCCTGGAAGCATCTGAGTAGGCACAGAGCTCTCACTGATGAAGTTCTGCTTTAAGTAGCCGGGATGGATTCCAACCAGGATGGTGATGTAACAGTCTGACTATACTGATTCAAGGTCCACAAGTGACATGGTTTTGATGGACCGTCTAAGCAAAGCAGCTCATCTAGAGGCTGATCTAGTAACCACACCATACTGCATTGTACCATGTTTACACACCCCACAACCACAAGCATAAAAGACATCTGGCTTAACTAGGGGATCGAAGATCTCAGGAATT